TTTTTACACAAAGGAGCAGATTATAGAAAGAGTACACAGGGAATTTCATATGCTTGTAATTAGCCCTTCTTAAGCATAAAACAAGACTAAAACCAGTAAGAATTAGACTTATTATACTGATGGAGAGAACATTTTACTAAAATAGATTTGCCATATATCTTTAGATATATTAATATTATCAAATGGAAAATATCTGCCAATGATGTAACACTTTTCAAGTTGAAACTAATATCCCTGAAGAAAATGAGTAGTCCACTAGAGAAAAGTTGTAAATGAAACACAATTCTAAGCAAAGGCATTTGTGAAAGCAACATACTCTGTTATTTTTTTCAGATGCTAAAGGATCTGTCATCCAAGCGCCAAATCGGGTTCCAGATGTCTTGACTGTAATTGGGCCTGTGATTTTCATCAATTTGCCACATGCTGAAATTAGAAAAACACAAACATGTTGGGTGAACACGGCCAATGATTCCAACACATATACTCATACCAAGAGCAAAGAACAGGATTGTAAAACAAAACAAATTCATGAAATTGATGTCACGTTAATGATCATTCATATTGGGTCCTGTTCCTTTAACCATAATTTGAGCCATGAGTAGTTGCTTTTTCAATGCTCTAGATAGAAAATGTAGAATTTTAAAGTGGGAAATGATTTGTACAGTTTGGAAATAAATAAATGAGAAAAGTCATTATCGTTATACCAATTCAGCTGCTGCTTCTTCTAAGTAAAGAAGTCAGAAAAATTAAACAAACTGCTTGTGGACCTGTTTACCTGATTACCAACCACCCCTGTTCCTCCCACACTCCCATGCTTTGTGACTATGGATAACTTATACAAGCCAGAAAGTTCCCTACAAGTTGATTTTCAATTTGTTTTGGTGAATGAGCATCACCCATGAAATAAAAAGAACCCCCCCCCCTTACAAGTACACCACAAAAGTCAGAAAAACGACAAATTCATGACTTTTCTTGAACCTATCAGAGAGCTGAAATCACAGGGCAATGACAAGCCTAAATCTAAAGAGAGACACATGCTTGCAGAAAAGAACAGGCTGCAAGCATTTACTTAGCTGGGACAAACACAGCTAAGACACCGGTAAGAAGAATTCAACTGGAATTATACATGAATTACTAAAGGTCAAGTGTGGGCTGGTGAGAACATGTAGACTCCTTTGGGGCTGAAAATATAGGGGGAATTTGCATGTTCCACTCGTAGTTTCTTCTCCACAGACCACACTGTACACACACACACACACACACGGTGGAAGCCCTGAGAATCCTTCCTTTTCTCCTCTACAATGCTGGGGTGAGGAAGGAAAACAAACAATGCCCTCCTCTAGACTCAAGTGAAACCCCATTGAAACCAAGAGAAGGAAACAGAAATTTTCTGTATCCCTCGGGGAGAAGCAGGAATACCACTGAGCTCATGACTACAGTTGGAAAAGGGACAAGACCTCTGAGAAAACAACATCCATGAGACCCATAGACCCAGCACCTGTCAAAGACTGAAGCTTAATCCAAACAGAATGCCACTCCCTCAACCCTCCCCAATAAGCACCTATGTAATTCCAAGTGACAACATAAACTCCTGGAAGAGAGAAGAGGACCCAAAGTGACAGAAGAGTGGGAAGAGATCCTCTCTGAGGCAAATAGAAAAAGGGAGACCTAAAGTTGGTGGAGAAGACATTGACAAAACCTATCGAGCAGACCATCTCACATTCTAAATACAAGGTAGTGCTAGAGGAATTTAAAACCTGGTACACTGAGGGCAACTATAGTAATGCCAAATCCCAAACCTAGGTCATCTCCTGACTAGATTGGCTCAAAATCCTACACTAAAGGCAAAGATTTAATTCGCAAGTAAGATATACTTAATAAGAGGGTCTCAAAATACACCAGGTAAAAAAAATCAATATGATTACAAGGAGAAATAAACCATCTGACAATCAGAGTAGATTTAAAAACATTTCTCTCAGTAAAACTGGCAGAATAAGCAGACAAAAATATCAGTGAGAGACAGAAAATTTGAGCAATGCTAGTAATCATGGCCTTAAAGATATATATAGAACACTGGAGTCAACAACTGCAGAACATACATCCTTTTCATGCACACATGGAACATTTGTGAGAACTGACCATATCCTGGACATAAAAGTGATATAAATTTCAATGGATTGAAAATACACAGAATGTTTTTTTTTTT